CTCCTGACAATGGTAATAGGTTAAGCCAGTATGAAGGAAGCTTATATACTGCAAAGATCATATAGGACTGAAAAGGAAATCATATTTGATTCAGCAAAAGAGGAAATGCAACATCAGAGGATTAAAAAGAGAAGGAACACAGTAAAAACAAGAAGCCAGAGAACTGCCCCTTTGCAGCAGCACTTTGAATAAACAAAGCTGCAGGGGTCAGAAAAAGAGACAGGACATGACTAAGTCATACAGTCAGAGAGAAGTGCTAGACCTGTGCTACAAGCAGYAGGAGCTATTAGGCCACTACAAGCAGTAAGATCTCAACACAATCAAGCAGGGAAGAAAGGGAAAACATGAGTCATGGATTGTATTCAAAACTGTATTTGTCAATAGAGCATCCAGAGAACAACATCTAGAGAGACAAGAGCAAAAAACACAGATGGAAGCCTAGCACATCCCCAGCAGCAGAAAAAAAGAGGAGCCAGCACTAAAGATTCAAAAAGCAAAAGTGAAGAAGAAACGGGAAATTATGATTTTTTGAAGTGTGCTGGGGGTTTTTCAGTGCAGGATTTGGGAAGAGGAATGAGAGTTTCTAAAGCAGTCCATCAGTCAGAGCCAAGGATGAAATGCAGGCCATTATGTCCAAGTTGTTAACTGGGGATATCAATGTGAAGGAGATGTAGGATTAGAGCAGTTTTGAACAGCATGTTTGGAGAGGCTAGAGATTACAGGAATAAAACAGATTAAGTGACAGGTACAGGAAGGAAATCCAACGTGTGTTTTTATGACAGGCACGACCTGTGACTACCTACAATTATTTGAGAGGAAACCTAAGGACTTTGAGAAACAGAAGGGGACAAGGTAGGATGAAGCAGACACACAGGATAGGAGTGGAAGGGATAATAAAAGAGAAAGTAAGAAATAATGAAGTCAACATTTGTGTAACAGCAGACCAAACAGCACATATGGAAAAGGTTAATGATAGAAGTAATTAATTCTGTATTTTAACTTGGTTTTTTTTTTCTGCAGAAGTAGATGAAGTAGTTGCAGTAGAGCCTATTTGTTCAAAAGAGAAAGACACAGTGAAGTGCAAATGAGGAAAATCATGTTTCTTGTAGGAGAAAAACTGGATGTGGATCTATGACTGAAGTGAAAAGATGAGAATATAGTGATAGTCAGCTAAAATGTCAGATCAAGGATCATCAGAGAAAAGTAGCTCAAGGGTAAACATGTGCAGGCAGAAGTGATAATCATTGCCCCAYAGTCAGCATCTTATCTACAATCAGAGTTAGCCTTTCTCATTACAACAATGCAACTGATGTCCAAAAATTCTTCAGACATGCTGATTTCAGCCAGGGTAGAGTTTACTTTCTTAACAGTGGCTGGTGTGGGGCTGTGTTTTGGATTTGTGCTGTACAGTGTTGATAATGTAGGGATGCCTTTGTTGTTGCTGAGCAGGGCTTGCACAGAGCCAAGGCCTCTTTTGCTTTTTGTACTGCCACGCTGGYGAGGRGGCTCAGGGTATGTGGGAGGCTGGGAGGTGACACGGCCAGGGCAGGTGACCCCAACTGACCCAGGGGACATTCCAGACCRTATGACAATCTCCGTATGTAAAGTGGGGGGAAGAAGGGGGAAGGAGGGGACATTTTGGAGGGATAGCATTTGTCTTCCCAAGTGCAGTGGGTTGATTTTGGCTGGGTGTCAGGTGGTCATCAAGCCACTCTATCACACCTACTCCCAGGGGACAGGGGCGAGGAAATAAGATGGAAAACAACTCACARGTTGAGATAAGGCAGTTTACTAAAGCAAAAATAAAGAAAAGCAAAAGTTTACACAAAAGCTGCCCAACAGCTTTCTTATCTTCTTCTTAAATATGTTATCACTGAGGTATTATCACCATTTCTGATTGGCCCAGTCTTGATCTGCAACACATCTTGGGAGCTGCCAGACATTGGCTCTGCCAGACATGGAAGAAGGTTCTAGCAGCTTCTCACAAAAGCCACTCCTGTGGCTCCCCGGCTACCAAAGCTTGGCCAAATACACCAAGCAACTGTTACTGATGGGATCCTGCTCTCCTGGAGATGGCTGAACACCTGCCTTTGCATGGGAAGCAGTGAATTAATTCCTTGTTTTGTTTTGCCTGTGTGCACAGCTTTTCCTTTCCCTATTAAATTGTCTTTATTTCAACCACTGAGTTTTCTAATGCTTACCTTTCTGATTCTTTCTCCCAATCCTGCTGGCGGGGCAGTGAGCGACTGGCTGCATGGGGCTAGGTTGCTGGCTGGGGTGAAACCACAGTATCAGATCAGCATGGTCATGCAATAAACAAATGGCTCTCAAAAAAATAGATGAAACAAGAAGGAGAAGGAAAAAAACAACCCAAAAACCCCACAAGTACCCCCTTCAGGGTATAGCTGATTATAACTTTTTCCGCTCTAGAAAGTACACTTTATTTTCAATATCCAGTCTCACAATATACCTCCTTAGCCTTGTGCTCAAAATTTACAAAGCTTTAGCTTGTCAGCTCTGGGAATTCTCCGTCTTTCCTCTGAATATTAGTTACATAATAGCTTGAGCTAAGCAATCAAAGCAGTGATAGGTCAAAAGGAAGATTTGCCTGAGGTGATGGAGGAAGTTGATGGCAGAGCTTGAAGCTGAATACACATTTCTCTGCTATTCTGACAGCACAAAAACCAATAGAGCCTCCTTGACTGGATTTTGTTGGCTTTTTTCCAAAGCAGCACTATTTCTGAAGCCAAAGCTATGGCATTGAAAGAGCTAATAAGCCAAAGAAATATCCCCAAATGGCACTGTTTTCTAGCTCCCAACGGCACTTCCATAATGTTACTAACAAACTATATATATTACAATCAGTATTTTCTTCATGCATACTGTACTTTGTGTCATTTCAATGGCCTGCAAATGTGCACAATTCTTGAGATATTAGGAGGAGCGTGTTAAACCCAGTTCTCTTCTTGAAAATACTTAGGTCCAAAGCCACCACAGCTCTTTGGAACTGGCATTTCTAGTTATAGGAGAGACTTGAAAGTCATTGTTCAACCCCTTCACATCTATTTTGTGGGATTAAATGACAACCACTGAAAACTTTAGTTAGTAAATGGTGGCAACAGCAAATATAACATCGAAATTTATAGGGATTAATTAAACACTTTTTGACATTACAGAACAGTGCAACATTTCCTTGTCAACAGTGCAGGATGCAGTAAACAGGCTAAGCAAGGAAGCAAGAGGCCAGGACTCCAAGGCCCACTCTCCTGAGGTGACAGCAGTGATTAAGATGACACATCCTGCACTTCAAATTGCATTCTTCAGGTTCTTTATGGGCTATGATTTATCTGTTATTGCTTAAGGAATGAGCTAGGCAGCACACCATTACTCTTCTCCGTGCCATGACAACATTCTCAGAAATTTCAAGATTCTTTTCCTGTGAGTTTATCTGGCATCAGCTTCTTGAGAAATGCCTTCAGAACTGAACACGAAGCATCAAGTATTTAAGATCTGAAAAACTGTGAAATAAGTATTTTATTAATAAAAATATGTTTATGAATAATATTGATATTCACTATTATTTGCATTATCAGATTCTTGGCACTGCTCCTTATAAAGACAATGCTTTAATGCTACTTGGAATAAAGGAGTAAAAAGATATTTCTATCCCTTGAAGTTCATTGTCTATGATGATATCTGATGGATCCTGACTGATGGGCAAAAGAAGGGCATTAATAAAAGAATTATGACTGGCACTATAGTAACATCCCACTTCCGACATATGAAGCTCCTATAACCATGAAGAATGGCTGCTCAAGAGAAATCAGTAAAATTTTATAAGGCAAAGCTATATGTATTTTGAAAGACCTATCTGAATCTCCATTTCTCTTTAAGAAGCTCATCAAAAACTGTTTTGGTAAAGAGACATGTTTAAAGAAGTTGCTTTTTTTGCAGAAGTCATAGGGAACATTGTGAGGACATGCGTTCTCAGTCATGAGTTAATGTTTATTGTAATGGATTACAAATTCTAGATTGATTTTGACATTAAATTAGCACAATTTMTTTGGGTTATTTCTGTAAGCATTCCAAAGACACATATTGTGAATTTACAATAATTGCTTACTGGTTTTTATCCAAACTTAAGCACACACCTTTGCCACTGAAAAGAAAGACTGAGCCCTGCTTAGGACCTAGCTAGTGCAACAAAACAACCTAATATACGATTTCTACAAGCAGCCTTATCCAAAACATAAACAAGATAAAAAATGGGACAAGGTAAGATCTTGGGGAGTGATCTCAATTACCTCCTGACACTTCCTTTAGTTTTTGKTTTTTTGGAGAGTTAGTTTTGCTCTCCACCCTAAAAAACTGCTTTAACGGCTTTCTTCAGAGTAGGAATTAGTTATCATGGCACATCTTACTACTGTTATCACAGGGACCTAAATCTGAAATGATGGAGTCAAACTAGTGGTGACTTCTGCTATTCGTTTATTTGCAGACAAAACAAGCATGTCGGTGTATTTTCACAGTTTCATTTCAGTGCAGTGGACCCGCAGTGAGGGCAGGTGGTCCCTGCTGACACTGTCACGGGCCGAGGTTCCCCGGGCCACGGGCACTCCGGGGCTCCAGCCGGGACCCGCCCTGGGGAGCAGCCGGCGCCCCCAGACAGGGCTCCCGGGAAGCTCCCGGCCCCTCCGGACCCCTCCGGGCCCAGGCCGGCCTGGGGAGCACCGATCCGGGGCCGCCGACGGGGCCCGGGACTACCGGGCAGCTGGCAGCGCCCCCGCCGCCGAGCCACCCCCGAGAGTCGCGGCGGAGCGAAGCGGGCCGGCGGTGCGGAGCGAAGCGGGCGGGCGGTGCGAGCCGCAGCGGGAGCGGAGCGGAGCGGAGCGGAGGCGGCCCGGCCGGGTCACGCCCGCCCCCGGCCGCGCCACCGCCCCTTCCTGTCATGGCCGCGGCCGGGCGCTGGGAGCGCGGCGGGGCAGTGCGGGCCGGTGCCTTGGGCTGCTGAGCGCCCCGGGGCGGCGCGGAGCGGGGACGGCCCCAGCCCGGAGCCGGCGGCAGGAGGTGACTGAGKGGCACCGTCCGGGCAGGGCCTGCCGGGGGCTGCCCCGTGGAGCGGCCGTCCCGCAGCCCCGCGGCGGTGGGACGGGGCGGTGCGGGCGCCAGGGCCGGCGGGGTCCGGTCGCCGTTCGGGCGGAGCCCGGCACTGGCCCCGCTGGGGCTGCGAGCGGAGCAGGCGCTTGTTCGGGTGTCCCGGCGCGGGTTTTTGTCGTGTGCACCCTGGGAACGAGCCTTCCCTGCGGGAAGAACTGTTTCGGAGAGGGCGGTCCGGGCTGGTCTCGGTGTGCTCCGCGGGGGCACCTTTCCAACTTGAAGGAACCACGATGGACATTTGTCCCGCAGTGAGGGTGTGCGCGGGGGCACTGTCCGGGAGGTTAAATTGACGCCCTCCCCCGTGTACCGTAGAATATTCGTGCTCACGGATCCCGAGGATGGCCGGCGTTAGAAAGTGCGGATGAGCGATGTGCAACAGCCATCAAACCCTAAACACCGGGTGAAACTGGGCCGCGTAGCAAAGCACTAGGGAAGCAGGCTCTGGTAGCTGCAGGCAGGAGAGCCTGTTCTGACTTTTCCTCACGGTAAGACTTYAATAGATTAGTTTCCACAGAGTTACATAGTAAGATAGCAAACCCACTGTGGCTATCTCATGATAATAAGTCATTTGCTTTTGTAATTGGGAAGATAAAAACYTAAATTTCATGAGCCCCGCACAGATGCCTGTAATGCATTAATCACATCAGCTGACTTTTGGCAARACAAATCAGGGGGGAAGGAAGGGAAATCCTGTAATGTTCCTTTTGTTTTCCTTGTAGATACCACTGAAGTRTCTGCCATCCACCACTTTCATTTAACTTCCCCTTGGGGTCAGCTGGTCGTCAGCATGCCTTCAACCGAGAACACCTCAAAACTTTTCCTGGTCMTCGTGTCATTGCTGCTGGTTTTGCCAGTAGTTGAAGCCCTGGATGCAGGAGATACGATTGCCTTCCTTCTAGGCCTCGCTGTCAGTGTCGTTGGATTCTGCGCCTGCCTTGGCTTGTACGCAAGGAGAAGGAATGGGCAGCAGTGATTTCAAAAAAATGCTCAGATGAAGTGAATCTGCAAACACGGCTTGGGGTTGGGTGTAAGACTGAGTTTTGGTTCTGGATAACTCAAAAAACATGTAGTAGATATTTCTGCAAATACCTCTTACTGTTCAGTACAACAGAATCAAGACTGTACCCAGTAAAAGGTRTTTGTATGATCTGTCCTCATTACAGAAAGATTATTTTATGTTGCTTGTGATTACATTTTGCCTTAGAGAAGGGTAAAAACTTTTTTGAATGGGGAAGTAAAACTATAGAGTGGCTCACAGTAAAAGTTTATAAATTTAGCATGTGAGCCWTCAGCAAGTTCCATAATTTTGGTTTCAGTGTTTAATCAGGAGGAACAGCTATTAATCTTCCAGTCAGGATGACAGGAGTTTTGAAATTAGTCCTGACTAGATAGCTAGTGAGCAGACTGCTCTAACTTGTATGCTTGTACTCACATTCTCTTGTAATGACAGTTAACACCTAACACCTCACTTCTGCTGACACAGGGATGAGACTTAAGAAAACTAAAGAAACATGAAAGGGTTTTTTTCATTTAAGAGCATTTTAGAGTATTTTTATTTTAGAATATGCCACTTCTGTAGCCTGTTCTTGTTACCAAGTAGATAGACTTAATAAGACCACCATTTTTATTTAACATGTATTTCACAGAAAAGTACACGTAAGGCTATGTAAATCAGATTAAGGATATGGGTTTTGTCTCTTGTTTTTCTGTACTCAGCTTTCCTCAAGTCACATCAGGTTTAAGACTTACTTCATTTGGTGTTYGTACATTTTTCTCCAAAACTAAAGACTTACATATTTTGATGAGGAATTCTGTGTAGTATTTTCTTCATTAGAAGGCTATTAGAATAATAACAAGACCATTGTGCACATTTCTTTTACAATGTAGAGTAACTTGTTTTGTTGAAATACTGGGTTTAGTCAAGGGGTCCATTGTTCTTAAGTGACATGTTGCTAGCATAACATTTAGGCTTCTCTAACTGATGTACATGAGTTCCACAGAAAATTAGGACCAAAGTAAAAAATCCTGGTGCAAAATGGGAGATGTGAATAGTCTTATTCTAATAATGCTCAGTCAGATTGCCTGATACATGGTTGAAAGACTTAGTAGTGTCTAGGACCTGTTTCTTTAAGTACCAAAGGTGAAATAGCTCAGCCAGGAATGTCTACCACAAGTCTCACTGACTTGTTAGGGTGTTCTAGGTGCCTGCTTGAGCCAAGGAGGACAGTCTGTTACAGCAGCAGAAAAAGGAGCATAGGAAGGTGGGCTCTCCACAATTCACAGAATTTCTTTCTGATCATGTGCTTAATCTTGTGGACACTGCCACTCTTGCTAGAAATYTTGGCTTTTATCTTTCAGATCTGTGTATTTTGATCCTATGCTCCAACTTCCTCCRTGTCTCTGTTCAGTAGAACACAAAGCAGTGGCTAGAAGAGTTGTTGGGCAGGTCTTATGTAAGTAGTTRGGTGGGCAGATCATGTTCTCCAAATCCGGATTTCTGCATGTCATTTTTGGCAGAAAGGGACCCGATTTACCGTTCCTATATAAAAAAAATGAAATTTACAGCCCAAAGAGGAGCTTCAGACAGTAGCATCATATTTGAAAGCTGCTTAGCTTTTAGCACCATGTATGTGATAATTCAGCTGGGTGGGTGCAAGCACAGATCAAAGTGTGATCTTTGAGGTTCCAGCTTAGCTAAAGAAAGAACCCAAACAGAGAAAAAAAAATCCAAACAGAAAAAAAACCAACCAAAAATTTCAAAATAAAAAATTAAAAATCCACAAAATAACCCTCCACAAAATTGCTACTCAATTCACTTTATAGTTCCCAAAGTTACGAAATTTTGCCATTTTTTCAGTGAAATATTAAGTATTCCTCTTTCAATACATTTACATTTACTCCTTCGAAAAGATCCCTYGCAATAGTTTCACAGAACTGGGCTACAGTTTCACTGCAGGAGAACAAAATTTTAACAGTAATTATCTTCAGGCAGTAGGGATATGAGAAATTGTATTATTTGCCCAAAGCTGTATGTATTTCACTGAAAAGTGTTTGCACAGCATAATGGCTTTGTTTCCTGGGATCTGAGAGAAGCTTTATTATTGAAGTCTTGGATTTGTCAATGACCTGACTGTAAAATCAGATACCCCTGTTTTTCTTGTCTTAATAAACTTTGATGTATGATTTATCATCAGCTTGATGAAGTAATTGTTATAAAAAGGAAAATTGACAGAAATTATTTAAGCTGTTGAAATTCCTTCTGATGACTATTATTTTCTTATCTACTTTTGCTTATGTTGCATAACTTTACAAACTAATGCATTTTGGTATTTTTTCAGTTAACTTTTGTGCACTGAATGTACTTCTTTTGGTCCTACTTCTTGTTTATCCCATTTCAGTAACTGCTTTAAAGCACTTCAAGGGAGCAGGTCCCCTTATTTTGACACTGCCAAAATAACAGCTTGTAGTTGCAAAGAATTCTGTTTGCCTGGTACAAAGAAATCTTGAAGTAATTATTTTTCCTTTTGACTGTAAATTTTCAACATATCTTATGTAGTTGCCTTTCTACTAGAAAATCTGTTCATGTCAGTTTTCTAGCTGGGAYATAAGGATATAAAGGACCATTTTCTGTTGGATTTTTTTCCTTTAAAGAAATACTATGTTCTAGTGCTTTAGTTATTTGAATTATACTCTTTTTTTTTAACTTTAAAAGAGCTAGTTTTATCCCAGCATTTTGTGAAAACAGGGTTCTAGCTCTTTCAGGATTTCAGCTACTGCATAAATCTTGGTGCACCAAGCTAATACTGTTAGCTGTTTTCAGAGCAGAAAGTCAAAACAGCCTGACAATGTCCACCTCTTAACAAATACCACCTACTCTCTGATAAAAAAACCCTGCAGGGCAAAAAAGAGTAGCTTTTGACTGCTGTGTTTTCCACATGCTTAAACAGTGTAGCTAAAAAAAAACGCAGCCATCCTGTACATGGACATTTATCAGTCCATGTACAGTCCCTTTGTAATGGACAGAAGACCTTAACTTCTTACGAAGTACCTTCAAGTGCCGCACACCAGCTGGGCTTTGCCATTCTGCTGTGTACAGCAGTACCTAGGGCTGGAATACATAGGCTTCACCCAGTTCCCAATGCACTTGCTTCTCTGGCTGTATGAACACTGTAAACCACTTTTTTCTACTCAGATAAATCCTGCTGCTAGTGGTGTTGCTGCTTTAATAGTGTTATGGGACCTGGCAATTCTACGACATCTTGCATTTGAGGACATGTTTAAAGGTATTAATGTTTGCATCCCAGTTGAATCCTTGGAGCAAGTGGAAGGAGAATCACTGGCTTACAATGGTGTCACAGGAATCAGCTGGTATCTCCAGGGTATTTACTCAGTTTTCTGGAGTGTGTTGTGCCTGTTCTCAGCCACCATGCTCTGCCATGGGAGCTGTCCCCRGACTAGCCCAGACACAGTCTGAAGCCCTGGTTCCTGTTTGCATAATGCTCTTTTCCTAAGCTTTGTGAGAAGGGGAGTTCACTGCTTTTAACAAGATAAACATGGCTAAGTGGATGTACTGTAATAGGTGTGTTACCCTGATGAATGCCCATATTATACTACAGAAGTAACCTTTCCATTTATTTCTACATGTAATGAAAGTTTTGGCAGATCTAAATTGGTGTAATGATGAGATTGGTGTAATGAGGAGTGGTGGAGAGTCTGGGTCTGGTTGTCCTTCTGGTTTACACTTGAACAAATAGTGATCTGAAGTCAACAGAAAGTGTGGGTTGTTCACCAGGTGAAAAAAGTGAGAATACTAATTGGGAACCAAATGCAGCAAAACATACAGGGCAAGATCCGATGTGATGATGCAAAGGACCCAAACTACTTAATTCCTGCTGAAATAAATCTTCAGAACTTTTAAGTGAAAAGTTTTTAATACATTGGACACCAACTACACTGCTAAGTGTTCAAGTCTTAAAGAATGTAACCAGTTTTTTAAGTTACAAGATTTTCGATTTTCAGTTCACATGACKACACAGTAACACCAAATATTATATTTGGAAAGCAAGTTTTCTAGCAAGCAGCTTGGAATCTACATACCAAGTATGATATGGTAAATAACATAAAAGTACTTCTTTGAACTAAAATTACAAGAGCAATAAACTTATATAGGCATTCAGAGCATTTCCATACCTTGAACTGTCTCAGCTCAGTTTCTCTGTAATGAAATTTGAAAATGCGTGGGAAGCTCTGTCACATTAAGGTACAAGAACACTAGACAGTCAGCAGAGCCTTTTGTTTCTGTATCATGCATCTGATCAGATTTTCATGAGATTTGCATGAGAAAAATAAAATGTCCCTTTAGTGTGCTAAGCAAAGAGACCCATAGAATCAGATAATGTTAAGGGGTTGGGATGGCCCTTAAGGATCATTTAGGCCCAACCCTCCCTGCCATGGGCAGGRACACCTCCCACCAAATCAGATTGCTCAAGACCTTGTCCAAACTGACCAAACTGCTAGGGTTTGAGTATCCATATCCTCTCTAGGCAACCTGGTCCAATGTCTCATCATCCCCACAGTTACAAATTTCTTCCTAATATCTAGCTTAAATTTCCCGTCTTTTAGTTTGTACCCATTATTCACTGTCCTGTCACTACAGTTACTGATGAAGTGTCCCTCTCTGGCTTCCCTGTAGGCCCCCCTCAGATATTGGAAGGCTGCTATGAGGTCTCCATGCAACCTTCTCTTCTCCAGGCTGAACAGCCCCAACTTTCTCAGCCTRTCTTTTAGGTGAAGTGCTCCAGTCATAAGCTTTATGGCCCTCCTCTGGACTTGGTCCAACAGTTCCATGCCCCTTTTCTGCTGGGAGAACCAGGACTGTGCCCAGTAGTCCAGGTGGGGGCTTGCAAGGGCAGGGTAGATCAGGAGAATCACCTCCTTGGACCTGCTGGCCACTCTTGATACAGCCAAGGACACAGTTGGCTTTCTGGGCTGCAAGCATTGCCAGCTCACATTGTGTTTTTCATCATCCATCGTGCCCAAGTCCTTTTCCACAGGGCTGCTCCCAATCACTTCTCCACCCAGCCTGGAGGTGTGTCTGGGATTGCCCTAACCCAGGTATAGGATCTTGCCCTTCACTCTGTTGAACTTCATGAGATGAAGTTCACACGAGACCACCGCTCGAGTCTGTCAAGGTCCCTCTGGATGGCAACCCTTTCCTCTGGTGGGTCATCTGCACCACACAGCTTGGTGTCTGTCTTGGTTTGAGACAATGTTTTCAGAGAAAAATGTGACAGAGTAAATGTTTCCTCTGAAGTGAAAAARTTGATAATTTTTCCCACTAATATGAAATAGATGTTTGGGCAAAGTGAAGAGAAATAAAAAGTASTTTATTACCAAAACACAGTGCCCACAGGACACAGATAAAAATTAACTTGGATATTTAAAAGTTCAGGAATGCATACCGCCCCCTCCCCGCTCCCTACCCCCAGCCGCTCAGCCACATGGTGCAGAGAAAAAGATGGCGTGGCCCCTATCCCCAGGAAAAAAAAAAGAAACAAAAGAAAAAGGTCAATCTGTCCGCTCGGGCAACAGTGGCAACCTGGTGGCAGTCCTCACTGTGGATGTAACAGAAGGCTCAGTGTGCTTTTTCTGTTGTCAGCTTGGCTTCTTCCGGAGTCCGGGACAAGATGGAACAGCGCCGCTTGTCCCCACCGGCCGCCGAATTGCTCCAGAAGCAAAATCAAAGCAGCTGCAGAGGGGGTGGCAGTCCTTGGAAAACTGTTTGCCCGAGCTAACAAACCCGAGCTAGCTAAATGGCAAAAACGTAACTCCACTGCAGGTAGCGAGCAGACCTCCCACAGAGCTGAGCTGAGCTCCAAAAGCCCCCGGCTGCGTGACAGCCCCAGCTTTTAAACTGCCCGCGCTGCCCGTGCCACTTCTGGGTCAGTTTAAAGGCACAGGCACCTTTTGGGTATACACTGACGGAATATAGGAACACACAAGATTGTCACAGTATCAACCCAAGACAGTGTCAACAGCAAATTTGCTGAGCACACATTATACAGCATAAATGAAGGCCTGAAAGCAGAGCACCCTCCATGAGACACAGGATTTACAAACATTAAGGGCAGGGAAGAGAGAATTGTGTCCATAGGCACACCATTGTAGAAAAGTAGATGCTGCTGCTGGGTTGAGTTTGAGTTTGTGTTCTGCTTCAATCTTCCTGTCTCAGCTGTGTTCCTCCTTGCTAGTCATTGTCTTGGAAATTTCAGCTGGAACCAACAGTACTGGACAGCTTTCTCAACTGCCATTCTTTCAAGGCACAAAAATTTTACATACATCTTCGTACTTCTGCTCTCCACTTGGCAAGTATAAAAGCCATGAAAATTACCTTCTTTTCCTGAATGGAGCTAAAACTGCAGAGAAACACAGTTCTCTAAAACTTAGAAGAGAAGGGTCTGTCTTTTTTGTCTGTTTTTTCTGTTCTTCTGTTTGTGCAGCTGATTGCACACACTGTGACAGTGCTAATAATAAATAATATAACCCCATGTCCCTTCCCTAACCTCTCACGGAAAAGCAACCTTCCTAAAACGTGACCAATTTTAATCTTGGCAGAATTAAAGTGAAGAAAATTGTCCCTTTTATCAAAATATGTTTGCTTTCCATTTCATGAGTTACCTGTGAAATGAGAATGTCTTTAATTCTAGAACTTTTCAAGGACATTTTCTGCCAAGCTATTTCTAAACTGATATGGTTATAGAAATTACATGCTCAATACCTGCACTTATTTCTCAGAATTTAACCTAACATGATTGTTCGTAAGTCCCATGGTAGCAGTTTTAAATTTTATTTTTTATCTATTCAAATTACCTGGAAGATCAGCAGAAGCCATATTGACTCATTTTTCTTCAACAGCATTTATTTATTTCAGCATCTACATGAAAATCAAGGAACAATTAAGCTTTTTAAAAATTCTGTCTTTTCAGAAAAGCCATTTGTGATCAAATTCCAAAAGTCTATCTGATATTTGCAGACAGGATATAATCTATAAAGTGGACTACATCTATAATTAGAAAGTATTTTTCATAAAAAGTAATAAATAAAAAAGTATAAAATTAAAGATGCTGACTGTATATCTGGAGCAGTAACCAATAAGAGACCTCTATTCAGCAGTAAATGTCACACAGCC